CAGTGATTGAGTGATTCCTTAGCTGGTCCGCCCCCTCCTTTATATAGATTGAAGGGGAGGGGGGTGGTCTCCTACTTCCTCTTGAAGTTTATCTTACAAGAATAGAAAGTCCTATCCTAATCCTAATTTATCTCTTTATTTAATGAACTCAATCCCTTTATCTCTCTAAGATTACATCAAAAATTTAGATCTGGAGGATTCTTCTTAGTTTCTTGTTCTTGGATTCGTAATAGCTCCTCTGCGAATTGGGCTTCAGCCAGGCTTTCTGCGAGTTGGGCTTCAGCTACGGATTGGGCCTTCCTACGAAATTGCCCCGACTTCAGGCCCGGATTTGACTTCGATGCAGGCCGAATCAATGAAAGCCCAAAATACGAAAGTTGTGGCTTTCTCTCTTATCTTTCCAATGGGTCTTGAATCAGCCCATTCGGAGTTCGGAGACGCGAGTTAGCCTACACCACTGAACGATGTCGAAACTGTGAAAAATCATCTGCTTTGTCTTTCTTTGCCCTTGATGCCTTCTTTCATGCCCTGAACAGAAATATGAGTCCAATTAGATGCTAATTCAGTATAAAAGACAGAGTAATTGGGGATAAAAATATGAAAAATTCTCCTCTCATCAAATCCCCCACACTTAAACTCTTGCCCGTCCTCGGCAAGACAAAACTCAAAACAAAATTAAAACAAAAACAAGCTAACCAAAAGATGGTCTTGGATTTTTCTCAATAGGGTATTGGTTCTCCCGCATGCCTTGATCCAGTATTCATGGTCCTTCCGTTCGTCCATTTCTTTTCCTCTTTAATTTGTCAAGGAATAATCTTAAATCGCCAATCCTCATGTCCCCAAGTGAGATAGACAATTAAGGGAAATAAGCATCTTTTCGCATGAGCAATTTAGAACTAGAGTAAGCCCTCTTTGTTTTCATAATCACATGTAGCAAGATTCAAAAAAAAATACCCTCTCATGATTCTTCAGAACAAAACAAGGGATGTTATTACCATAAGCTTGCTTATGTATCACATCTCCACCACTTATCATGAGTGCAATGCATCAAAAGGTGAATTAGGGTTTAGGATCTAGGGATGAGTGCATTTTATGCTCCATCTCACCCTTTTATTTTTTTAGTGTGAGTGCATTTTATGCTCCATCTCACCCTTTTATTTTTTTAGTGTGAGTGCATTTTATGCTCCATCTCACACTAGCTCTCTCTTTTTTTTTCTCTCGGTGTGAGTGCATTTTATGCTCCATTTCACACGAGTTTTTTTTTTTGGATAACACGTTCTAGTACATGGACTCATTATCGTGGTCTTAACATGCCTAACAAAACAAGTTCTAGAATAATCAACCCATGTTTGTCTATTAGAAACCAAATGCTCACAAGGGTCAAATCTGTATTGCATCTTGCCCGTTGATCATTCAAACTACTGAGATACCTTCCATAGCCAAAAATTTCAGTTAGATTTGCCTGCATCCTTTCCTATCTATCCCACCTGAACACATGATTCAGGGTGGTTTGCAATCATTCAAAAACAAGTCTCCAATGAGCAGAAATTTCAAAAGGAAGGGTTATTAAGATGATTAAAGCATGGTAGAGTCCGAAAAAATCTATCAACCCCTTAATCCTCCCCCACACTTAAGATATACATTGTCCTCAATGTATAGAATATGCATAACAAGAACAAGGAGAGAAAGATTTAAGAGGACTTCCCCGAATGCCTTGTTGAGATCCTGTAGATGTGAGATACGAAAAAAAAACACACTCAAAAAAAAGAAAATTGAACAAAACAAACAACTAAACTTAATGGGTTGCCTCCCATAAGAGCTCGTTTTAAGTCATGAGCTTGACTTTTACCTTTCTTTTTATGGCGGTTTTAAGGAAAGAATGGACCCATGGTGGATGGGTTGCTCTCCTTCAATATAATGTTTCAACCGCTGTCAATTTACCTTGAATGTACTCCCATCATCATTATGTAGTTCGATTGCTCCATACGGGAATACCTTAGCCACCACAAAAAG